GTTTTCATGGCTGCTAACACAATATCCATTATGCAGCCCATGGCTCGAGCAGTAGTTTGACTTTCAGGTCTTAGTATTTAAAAAATAGATTCTGTAAGGCTATCGCTGCCATACATAGCAACTTCTCTGATGGATCTCAACAAAGCAAACTGAACGAATTCTCCATTTTAGATGCCACTTAGGAATATGAGTGGCGTCAGGAGAGGGGAAAGTATCAACAGACAGGGAAGTTTGCAACAGGCTGATTCCAGTCCTCATGGATGACTTTGAGGCGTTCAGACTTCACAGCAGGAAGTAATTGCAGATGTGTGCAAATAACAAGAAACTAGAATTAGAAGTGAATCCTGAAGATGTGACTGAACTGCTGAAATCTCATGATAAAACTTTCAGAAATGAGAAACTGCTTCTTAAGGATCAGCAAAGAAAGTGGTTTCCTGAGATGGAATCTACTCCTGGTGAAGATGTGAAGACTGTTGAAATGGAAGAATGGAGTTGGAACAGCATATAAACTCAGCTGATAAAGCAGCAGCGGGGTTCACAAGGGTTGACCACAATTGTGAACGAAGTTCTACTGTGTTTACCAAACAGCACTGCATGCTACAGAGCAATTGTTCACGAAAGGAAAAGTCAGCTGATGCTGTGGCAAACTTCCTTTTGCCTTAAGAAATTGCTAAAATAAAAGAAAAGAAATTGCTACAGCCACTCTATCCTTCAACAAGTAGCACCCTGATCCGTCAGCGGCCCTCAACATCGATCCAAAACAGTCCACCAACAAAAAGATGATTCTCTGAGGCTCAGACGATGGTTAGTAGTTTTCAGCAGTAAAGTTATTTTTTACCAAAGGTATGTACATTTTTTTAAACATAATGCAATTGCTTACCTTAATAGACTACAGAATACTGTAAACACACCTTTTATACTATATGCACTGGGAAACCAAAAAACTCATGAGACCCACTTTGTTGTGGTAGCCACTGTGGGGGCCCAGAACTAAGCCTGCAATACCTCCCGGGAAGGCTGTACACGGGGTTTTCTTCCCAACAAGGAACATACCTTCCAGGCTGCATTCATGAGATGTCAAGGCTCTGTGCTTCGAATCCTCAAATCCTGCCCTCAGAATGCTTGACTGCAAGACAGATTTGAGAAAGCATATTCAACAAGACTGTACACATGTGAATGTACTTAACACTAACACAATGTAGACTTGAAAATCATTGTTGTGGTAAATTTTAAGTTTTTTAAAAATAAGAAACTTAAAAAAGGAATAATCATAGCCTGGGATCAGATCTCTGATTTATATAATCTTTAAAACATACATTTTGTTACCTGATCCTTCTCGTTCTCAAGCTGAGCATTTTTCTTCTGGACATGATGTTCTTTACTGACATGAACTCCATGAAGGGAGAACTGAACCTAAAACAGTCTCACTAATGACTTAGTTCCCAAGAACAAAAATCCTCAAGTAGATAACATAGAAATTTAACATTCTAAGACGTGACAAACTTGTTCTTCATCAAAGCTAAGCTGTACAACAGAACTCTGTAGCTAACAAAGTTAATTTACATCTGGAATTTCTGAGATGTTCATTTCAGTAACAACTTTCAGGGCAGGGTGGTGGGGGTTAGTGCCAAGACAGCCGAGTAGAAGGATGCTCTTAGCTCACCCTCTCCCACAAATACCTCAAGAGATACATCTGCAGACCCACCCATTCGCTCTGAACCCCTGCTGAACTTTGGCAGAATATCTCTTACTTCAAAAGAAAAAATTTCTCACAGCAGCTGCTTGGCTGACAAAACTGACAGAAACCAACACAAAGGGTCCCTGCGATCAATCCTCAGCTCTGCACACAAGCTGGTAGGGGTGGGCCAGAACTGGCTGCTGGAGGCCGGGTAGAGGGCTAGGGCCGACTGTGCAGAGGCAGTCTCAGGTGGCTGGGGTGTGCTGTAGGTGGTGGTTGGGGGTGTATACAGAACAGAATAGCCTGGGATCCCCACAAAAAAGCAACACTGCTGGTGCACATGGGGGTGAGGGGTGCAACAGAGCCAGGCCATAGCCACTGTCTCCCAAGCTCATAGCAACACTGTTGATGCATTCTCATGAGACGAGAGGTGGGGTTCAGTCAAGCCATCATACTAGCTGGTGCAGGGCTCCTGGGTGGAGGTGGGGTGAAACCTGAATCCATACCCAAGGGCCCTGCAACTTCATAGGCGAGACTGAGATTTCTTTGCAGCCCCAGGCAGAGGGGGCGGATTTGGTCCATGGGTGCCTTTGTGGGCACGTGCCTTTAGGACAAGTGAGCAAAGAGCAGAGTTCTGGTGCACCGCACAGGCACAGGCAGCCTTTTCAGCAGATCTGCATAACGTATGCAGACTTGGCACTGGGGATGGTGCTGACCCAGTAACACACCACGGACCCACATGTGTGATTGCACTATCACTGTGGTAGGTCCTAGTGCCGGATGTTGGCAGATCTGCACTGCTGGCTCTGAGGGCACACATCTGTAAAACAAACAAGCAACAAGTAGAGTTCTGGTGCACCACAGGGATGGGTACAGGTACAGTGTTTTCAGTGGACCTGTGTACTGTACATAGACTGGGTGCTGGGAATGGTGCTGACCCGGTAAATGGACCTTGGATCCACTACATAAGCAAGAGAAGAGACATAAATCACATGATCACCTCAATAGATGCAGAAAAAGCATTTGATAAAATTCAACACCCATTTATGATAAAAACTCTTTGCAAAGTGGGTATAAAGAGAACATATCTCGATGGAATAAAAGCTATTTATGGCATCCCACAGCCAGCATAATACTCAACAGTGAAAAGCTGAAAGCCTTCCCACTAAAATCTGGAACAAGACAAGGATGCCAATTTTCACCATTTCTACTCAACATAGTCTTGAAAGTCCTAGCCACAGCAATCAGGCAAGAGAGAAATAAAAGGGATCCTAGTTGGAAGAGAAGAGGTAAAATTATCACTATTTGCAAAAAACATGATACTATATATAGAAAACCCTAAAAGCACCACACAAAAACTACTAGAGCTGATAAAAGAATTCAACAGGGTTGCAGGATAGAAGATTAACAGGCAGAAGTCAGTTGCATTTCTTTACATTAACAATAAAAAAATCAGAAAAAGAAAGTAAAGAAACAACCCCTTTTAAAATTGCATCCAAAACAATAAAATACTTAAGAGTAAATCTGACCAAAGAGGTGAAAGACTTGTATGTGGAGAACCACAAAACATTGATTAAGAAAATTAAAGATGACTTAAAGAAATGGAAAGATATCCCATGCTCTTGGATTGGAAGAATCAATATTGTTAAATGGCCATACTGCCCCAGGCAATCTACAGATTTAATGCAATCCCTAGCAAATTACCCAGGATATTTTTCACAGAACTAGAACAAATAATCCTAAAATTTATGTGGAATCACAAAAGACCCAGAATTGCCAAAGCATTACTGAAGAAAAGGAACAAAGCTAGAGGAATAACACTCCCAGACTTCAGATAATCCTATAGAGATACAGTAATCAGAACAGTGTGGTATTGGCACAAAAACAGACATGTGGATCAGTAAGACAGAACAGAGAACCCAGAAATAAACCCACAGACATACAGTCAATTAATCTTTGACAAAGGAGAAAAGAATATACAATGGAGAAGAGACAGTCTCTTCAGTAAGTGGTGTTGGGAAAACTGAGTAGCAGCATGTAAATTAATGAAGTTAGAACACTCCCTCACACCATACACAAAAATAAAGTCAAAATGGCTTATAGACTTAAATATAAGACAAGACACTATAAACCTCCTAGAAGGAAACATAGGCAAAACATCCTCTG